TTCTGGGTTTGCATGCACACTCCAAACTCTGGGGCTGGGTGGGGGAATTCAGACATTCCTGTTCAGGATGGGTTGGAGTCTGGTCTACAGAGCTTCCCATCTGAAGGAGTTTTCTCATTTGGGCTCCTGGAATCTCCAGGCATAACAGTGGGACAATTTTTGTAACCCTCCACTTTATACTCTGCTCAGAGTGCCACTTTCATCAGCGCCCTGCTGGCCCACTTCACCTTCTCCCTTTATGGCTGCATGTGCAATGAATTTCTCACTGTCATTGGAAAACCATTTGATGAACATGTGCCTTGGAACAGTGGGCTGGATCCTCTAGATGTTTTGTGTATTTGATGCTGGGTGACATTTTTGGGGAGCTTTTTTGAACATTAAAATCTTAGAGGGGTACTGAACTTCTTTCTTCCCCACTTAATATTGATAGGTTCTAGATCATTCTTAGCTTTCTCAGTACTTTTAAATGACCATGGAAATGTATCTACCCAGGCCACATCTGCTTGTCTGCTTTGTCCTTTTTCTTAAAAATCTAGATGCTGAATGTGGGTTAAAAATTAATGTCATTTTGGTTATTTCAGAAACTCCCCCATTAGCGTGCTGGGCTTTGCAGCAGTGCCTGTGTACACCAGACATAATCTGTGACTACAGGAGTAAGTCAATAGCTGGTTTGTGCTGCAGAAAATGGCCAGCAAAGGACCATGCAGGGTCAATACAGGGACATCTACACAAGTACATGTTCCCATTGCTCTCTGCAGAAACTGAGGGTGAGAGGAGAAATACCACAGTTTCTAGAAGCCCTGAAATGAGAATGAAAATGTGCTCTGCAAAGGGTGATATTAGTTCAAAATAAGATTTTGGCCCCCAAAAGGTGGGAGTGGAATCGATGCCATGGTGCAATTTAAAGCCTCAGTATGTAGGTTGTGATTTTTGTTTGCTGTTGACTATCCAAGCTGCTTGGGAGTCTTCTAAAATATCACCTCCAGTCATGTGCAAAGGGCCATAAGCAACAGAGACATTTTCTCCTTTTAAGATACACGGTCTAATCTGCTAGAAACACAGATTTGCCTTTCTTGAAAAGCAATTTTCAGCATCCAGCTGGCTTTGTGGTCTTTTTGGCAGAAAAAAATGCACGTGAATGGAGAGTGGGGGCAATAGTTTTTCCACCCTGCAAGAATGTTTGTCATTTCAAAGACATTTCCCCACTGTAAATGAGGGAGAAAAAATAATTTCAAAAAACCCAAACCTAAATGCTGCTTTGGGCCCCTGTAACGTTTTCAGCTTTAACCCATCATCTAAGCAAACAGGATGTCAACGTTGTCTGGACTTCTGTTTTTTGAGGCAGAGGCAAACCTTTTAATTGAAAAAAGCTGAAATAGTTCCAACCAATCCCAGAAATAGTGAAGTGACGAATTAGCTGATCACAACTATTTTACAGATTGCTTCAACTTTGTCAGATGTGGTTTTTTTGAGGATAATTCCTGACCCAATCTACTCTAGAGACTATTGTCCTTACTTCAGCAAATCCTTTATTCTGATGGTGGTCAGGTAAGAGCTGATATGT